GCCTCGCTCGTGTTTTAATATTCTACGATGATAATATTAATTCAAAGACATTCAGTAATAAACAATAATGAATGTTTACATCGAGAAATGCTGCTTGTTTACAATTGTGCATGTCTGAACGCTATGGGCCGCTCAAACTCATTAAATTTTAAATTGAAATTTTAAACCAAATAAAAAATGTTGAATTAAAACTCGCGAAATTTGAGAACCTACTGTACAACATTTAACCCTTCAATATGTCTTCAAAGAGACCATGAGCAGAGAAAGTGGTGGTAGTTTCCACATAAGCACAAGTCACTATCTATCCAGGAAAAGGGTGATTTTCATGGTCCGCACCGTCAGGTCCCGAGGTTGCCGGACTAGAGGGGTACAACCTGGTACCAAAATTTAGTCAAATTACGATTGAAGTCCTTAGTGATTGTGGCTAACAAAATTTTGTTTGTATTCACTTTAATATGGCTGCGCTACATTTGATTGATTATCGTTAGTGGTGACCAAACGGATTTGATATTGGTGGCAAAATGGGATGTATCCAATTTTTATTGACTTGAAAATATAATTATAAGCTGTATCAGAAGGTTGTTTACTGAGATGTGTTCGTGTGAGAGCTTTCAGTAGACCAGCTTACAACAGGGGTCACTACAAAACACTGTATAGTATTATGTGATATGAAGGTACCTTCTTTAAAACGTTATTTACTAACTTTGAGTGTTATATGATGACTCAGTTTGGCTACCTGTATTTAGACAAATGATTAATGAATAAACCAGGTATATGCAGATACATTGAAGTTCTATTTATCAAGGTTTAGCAAATTTACTTATTTATTCCTATTTAAAAAATGGTAAATTTTGCCATACAAATTTTGTTTTTCTTGTCTTTATTCCCATTCATGATATCTGCCCCTGCAGTGTAGGTACACAGTGTACCTAGACAGTGTAGGTACACAGTGCACCTAGACAGTGTAGGTACACAGTGCACCTAGACAGTGTAGGTACACAGTGCACCTAGACAGTGTTGGTACACAGTGCACCTAGACAGTGTTGGTACACAGTGCACCTAGACAGTGTAGGTACACAGTGCACCTAGACAGTGTAGGTACACAGTGCACCTAGACAGTGTAGGTACACAGTGCACCTAGACAGTGTAGGTACACAGTGCACCTAGTGTAGTACACAGCACCTAGGACAGTGTAGGGTACACAGTGCACCTAGACAGTGTGCGGTCAATAGTGCACCTAGATTAGTGTAGGTACACAGTGCACGAGACAGTGTAGGTACACAGTGCACCTAGACAGTGTAGGTACACAGTGCACCTAGACAGTGTACGTACACAGTGCACCTAGACAGTGTAGGTACACAGTGTACCTAGACAGTGTACGTACACAGTGCACCTTGACAGTGTTGGTACACAGTGCACCTAGACAGTGTAGGTACACAGTGTACCTTGACAGTGTTGGTACACAGTGCACCTAGACAGTGTAGGTACACAGTGCACCTAGACAGTGTAGGTACACAGTGCACCTAGACAGTGTAGGTACACAGTGCACCTAGACAGTGTAGGTACACAGTGCACCTAGACAGTGTAGGTACACAGTGTACCTTGACAGTGTTGGTACACAGTGTACCTAGACAGTGTAGGTACACAGTGTACCTAGACAGTGTAGGTACACAGTGTACCTAGACAGTGTAGGTACACAGTGTACCTAGACAGTGTAGGTACACAGTGTACCTAGACAGTGTAGGTATACAGTGTACCTAGACAGTGTAGGTACACAGTGTACCTAGACAGTGTAGGTACACAGTGTACCTAGACAGTGTAGGTACACAGTGTACCTAGACAGTGTAGGTACACAGTGCACCTTGACAGTGTTGGTACACAGTGTACCTAGACAGTGTTGGTACACAGTGTACCTTGACAGTGTTGGTACACAGTGTACCTAGACAGTGTTGGTACACAGTGTACCTTGACAGTGTTGGTACACAGTGTACCTAGACAGTGTTGGTACACAGTGTACCTTGACAGTGTTGGTACACAGTGTACCTAGACAGTGTAGGTACACAGTGCACCTAGACAGTGTACGTACACAGTGTACCTAGACAGTGTAGGTACACAGTGCACCTAGACAGTGTAGGTACACAGTGCACCTAGAGACAGTGTAGGTACATATCTAGAGCAGTGTGTAGGCACAGTGCACCTAGACAGTGTAGGTACACAGTGCACCTAGACAGTGTAGTGCACAGTATGCAGACAGTGTGGACACAGTGCACCTAGACAGTGTACTAGACAGTACCTAGACAGGTAGAGTGCACTTAGACAGTGTAGGTACACAGTGCACCTAGACAGTGTGGTACACAGTACAGGGTGGGTACACAGTGACCTAGACAGTGTACACAGTACAGATAGGTACACAAATGGTGTAGGTACACAGTGCACCTAGACAGTAGGTACACAGTGCACCTAGACAGTGTAGGTACAGTGTACCTAGACAGTGTGAGGTACACAGTGCACCTAGATAGGTACACAGTACTGGTGTAGGTACACAGTGCACCTTAGACAGTGTGGGTACACAGGTGCACCTAGACAGTGTACAGGTGTAGGTACACAGTGCACTAGACAGTGGTGTGGTACATGATTAGCAGTGGGTACACAGTGCACTAGAGGTACATGTGCACTAGACAGGTACACAGTGCACTTAGACAGTGTAGGTACAGTACTGACAGTGTACTCTAGACAGTGTGGTACATAGTGCACCTAGACAGTGTAGGTACACAGTGCACCCAGACAGTGTAGGTACACAGTACCTAGACAGTGTAGGTACACAGTGCACCTGGACAGTGTAGGTACATGGTGCACCTAGAGAGGCACAGTGCACCCAGACAGTGGGTACACAGTGCACCTAGAGTGTGGCACAGTGCACCTAGACAGTGTCCATACACAGTACTTTAGACAGTGTAGGTACACAGTGCACGTGTATGTACACAGTGCACTGTGTACATAGTGCATTATGTGTGGGTGCACAGTACCTAGACAGTGTAGGCACATAGTGCACGTAGACAGTGTACGTGCACAGTGTACCTAGACAGTGTATACAGTGTACTGAGCAGTGTACAGTAACTTAGACAGTGTAGGTACACAGTGCACCTAGACAGTGTAGGTACACAGTGCACCTAGACAGTGTAGGTACACAGTGCACCTAGACAGTGTAGGTACATAGTGCACCTAGACAGTGTAGGTACACAGTGCACCTAGACAGTGTAGGTACACAGTGCACCTAGACAGTGTAGGTACACAGTGCACCTAGACAGTGTCCATACACAGTGCACCTAGACAGTGTAGGTACACAGTGCACCTAGACAGTGTATGTACACAGTGCACCTAGACAGTGTAGGTACATAGTGCACCTAGACAGTGTAGGTACACAGTGCACCTAGACAGTGTAGGCACACAGTGCACCTAGACAGTGTACGTACACAGTGTACCTAGACAGTGTACGTACACAGTACACAGTGCACCTAGACAGTGTAGGTACACAGTGCACCTAGACAGTGTAGGTACACAGTGCACCTAGACAGTGTAGGTACACAGTGCACCTAGACAGTGTAGGTACACAGTACACAGTGCACAGTGCACCTAGACAGTGTAGGTACACAGTGCACCTAGACAGTGTAGGTACACAGTGCACCTAGACAGTGTAGGTACACAGTGCACCTAGACAGTGTAGGTACACAGTGCACCTAGACAGTGTAGGTACACAGTGTACCTTGACAGTGTTGGTACACAGTGTACCTAGACAGTGTAGGTACACAGTGTACCTAGACAGTGTAGGTACACAGTGTACCTAGACAGTGTAGGTACACAGTGTACCTAGACAGTGTAGGTACACAGTGTACCTAGACAGTGTAGGTATACAGTGTACCTAGACAGTGTAGGTACACAGTGTACCTAGACAGTGTAGGTACACAGTGTACCTAGACAGTGTAGGTACACAGTGTACCTAGACAGTGTAGGTACACAGTGCACCTTGACAGTGTTGGTACACAGTGTACCTAGACAGTGTTGGTACACAGTGTACCTTGACAGTGTTGGTACACAGTGTACCTAGACAGTGTTGGTACACAGTGTACCTTGACAGTGTTGGTACACAGTGTACCTAGACAGTGTTGGTACACAGTGTACCTTGACAGTGTTGGTACACAGTGTACCTAGACAGTGTAGGTACACAGTGCACCTAGACAGTGTACGTACACAGTGTACCTAGACAGTGTAGGTACACAGTGCACCTAGACAGTGTACGTACACTGTGCACCTAGACAGTGTAGGTACACAGTGTACCTAGACAGTGTAGGTACACAGTGTACCTAGACAGTGTAGGTACACAGTGCACCTAGACAGTGTAGGTACACAGTGCACCTAGACAGTGTAGGTACACAGTGCAGGTACACAGTGTACCTAGACAGTGTAGGTACACAGTGCACCTAGACAGTGTAGGTACACAGTGCACCTAGACAGTGTAGGTACACAGTGCACCTAGACAGTGTAGGTACACAGTGCACCTAGTCAGTGTAGGTACATAGTGCACCTAGTCAGTGTAGGTACACAGTGCACCTAGACAGTGTAGGTACACAGTGTACCTAGACAGTGTAGGTACACAGTGCACCTAGACAGTGTAGGTACACAGTGTACCTAGACAGTGTAGGTACACAGTGCACCTAGACAGTGTAGGTACACAGTGTACCTAGACAGTGTAGGTACACAGTGTACCTAGACAGTGTAGGTACACAGTGCACCCTGGACAGTGTGCGTACACAGTGCCTAGACACTGTGGGTACACAGTGCACCCTGGGCAGTGTGGGTACACAGTGCACCCTGAACGGTGTGGGTGCACAGTGCGGAGTGCAGTGTGCCTGAACGGTGTGGTGCACAGTGCTGCCTGAACAGTGTGGGTACACAGTGCTGAACAGTGTAGTACTGCAGTGCACCTGAACAGTGTGGGCACGATGCACCCTGAACAGTGTGGGTACTGTGCACCTAGTCAGTGTGGGTACATAGATGCACCCTGGTCAGTGTGGGTACATGGTGCACCTAGTCATTGTGATTGCACAGTGCACCCTGAACAGTGTGGTACACAGTGTGCCTGAACAGTGTGGTACACAGTGCACCTAGACAGTGTGGGTACACAGTGTGCCTGGAGCAATCAACAGGTACACAGTGCACCCTAGACAGTGTGGGTACACGGTGTGCCTAGACAGTGTGGGTACACAGTGTGCCTAAGACAGTGTGAGTGCACAGTGCACCCTAGACAGTGTGCGTACACAGTGCACCTGAACGGTGTGGGTACACGGTGCACCCTGAACAGTGTGGTGCACGGTGTTGCCTGAACGGTGTACACAGTGTGGCCTAGACGGTGTACTGATATTACCTGAACACTGTGGTACACAGAAGTGCACCTGAACGGTCAACAGGTACACAGTGCACCTAGACAGTGTACGTACACAGTGTACCTAGACAGTGTAGGTACATAGTGCACCTAGACAGTGTAGGTACATAGTGCACCTAGACAGTGTAGGTACACAGTGCACCTAGACAGTGTAGGTATACAGTGCACCTAAACAGTACAGGTATACAATGTACCTAGACAGTGTAGGTATACAGTGTACCTAGACAGTACAGGTATATAGTGTACCTAGACAGTGTAGGTATACAGTGTACCTAAACAGTACAGGTATACAATGTGCCTAGACAGTGTAGGTATACAGTGTACCTAGACAGTACAGGTATACAGTGTACCTAGACAGTGTAGGTATACAGTGTTGCTAGACAGTGTAGGTATACAGTGTTGCTAGACAGTACATTACAGGTATACAGTGTACCTAGACAGTGTAGGTGTACAGTGTACCTAGACAGTACAGGTATACAGTGTACTTAAACAGTGTAGGTGCACAGTGTACCTATACATTTTAGGTATACAGTGTTCCTAGACAGTACAGTACAGGTATACAGTGTAGCTAGACATTGTAAGTATACAGTGTAGCTAGACAGTACAGGTATACAGTGCAGTTAGACAATGTATCTACTAATCAGTGTTGTTATTCCTACAGTGTACCAAGACAGTGTATCTACTAATCAGTGTTGTTATTCCTACAGTGTACCAAGACAGTGTATCTACTAATCAGTGTTGTTATTCCTACAGTGTACCAAGACTAGTGTATCTACTAATCAGTGTTGTTATTCCTACAGTGTACCAAGACAGTGTATCTACTAATCAGTGTTGTTATTCCTACAGTGTACCAAGACAGTGTATCTACTAATCAGTGTTGTTATTCCTACAGTGTACCAAGACAGTGTATCTACTAATCAGTGTTGTTATTCCTACAGTGTACCAAGACAGTGTATCTACTAATCAGTGTTGTTATTCCTACAGTGTACCAAGACAGTGTATCTACTAATCAGTGTTGTTATTCCTACAGTGTACCAAGACAGTGTATCTACTAATCAGTGTTGTTATTCCTACAGTGTACCAAGACAGTGTATCTACTAATCAGTGTTGTTATTCCTACAGTGTACCAAGACAGTGTATCTACTAATCAGTGTTGTTATTCCTACAGTGTACCAAGACAGTGTATCTACTAATCAGTGTTGTTATTCCTACAGGTACCAAGACAGAATTCAGCAACATGTTTGAACGTCCAATACAGAATGGCCAGTGTGTGGATTCCACCCCACAAGATATGAAACTTATGAGGTACCGGGCACATGTGCTCCACTCCTTGCTCGAAGGTTTTGTCCAGAGGTGAGTGTTTACGTTGTACATCTTGTCCACCCAGTTGTTAATGGACACCTTACCTTACTGTTGAGGAATTGAAAGAGGTCAAGTACAGTGCTGGTCTTCTATACAGGTCGTGTCAAAAATGGGGCCCGACACACCCTCTTACGTGTGGTCACTGGCTGCTCCGGCTGCACCTTGAGCAGCTAAGAGCCTAAAACAGTAGCACTTGATGTAAAAAGTTAAGACTATTTGTATTGGATAATACTCTTTTAGTCTATTGAGTCTGTTCAAAGACAAGTGCTTGGAGGATATTGATATTGAAACAGTTTCTTTAGCCTGAAAAACACAGATACAGAGTGGATAATAATATTAACATGGCTGAGCCAGTTGAGAACCTGACCTCTCTTTTAGGCACCTGATATACATTTATCTCAAGGAAGTATTATGTAACATTTAGTATCATCTGGAATAATACAATAGCATGGTGGTAATAAGAACATGGTACCACGGTTATCACTTCAATATTTATTAATTTGATTTATTTGTTTATATATTACAGTATAAGTATATACACAGTTTTCAGTGGATTTAATGTACATAAATATGATAAGGGAGGGAAGCAGTACAACATGGGTTGTATTAAGGTGGAACAAGAGGACAGAGCTGTCAGTATTAGGTCTAGTTGGCTAATATATTTATTGCAATGGTAATTTCTATATATCTCCATGATAATATCTGATAAAACGATTTTGGTGGTACAATAAAAGCTGAAATATAATGTAGGTACAGTCGGCCCTTAACATATGCGGGGGTTACGTAACAGAGATACCCGTGGATGTTAAAAATCCGCGTATTTTTGCTGCCCCCCCCCATGTCCTTATTTACCATATATACCTGTGTGTAGTTCGAGTTTTTAAGACCAAATTATTTGGCAAAAAATTGGGGGTCGACCTCTAAACGGGTAATAGTCTTGTTCGGTTGAAAAATATTTACCAGTAACTACCAGTAAACAATGGAAACGATGCACCAACGCACCACCTGCTGTGAATGTCGGTACAGTTGCCAGGGCAGATCTCTTGCTTCATCATAGCAAGCCCAAAGTGGCCAAATGCATGGTATGGTAGCACAGGACGATGTAAAACAAAGTATTCATTTTTTAAAGTTTATTTATAGATACTGTACATAAATTTTTGTTCATTACATTTGAAACATCAATCTTTGTTAATTGAATTTGAAACAAAAGAAAACTACGATACCGTATTTTCATTAAAATATTACATCACAAGTATATTTTACCTTAACTGTGACTGAATGAATATATTCTCAGAAATAAATATGGAAATGTAATATTTTTGCTGAAATGACGTTCGTATTACAGTGGAAAGTGGGATAAAATCATGACGCAAACAATGATTTTCTCTTTCTTTCGTTGTTCAAAAGATTTTACAGTAATCGCTTTTCGAATGGTTTTCAGTTAAAAAACTGTTGTACTGTATTACAATAATATTCTATCCTATCATTAGCCTCATAATCCCACAACTGAAAACCATTCGAAAAGCGATTACGGTAACAGCTTTTGAACGAAAGAAAGCGAAAGTCATTGCTTTCGTCACAATTTTATCCCACTTTCCACTGTAATACGTACGTCATTTCAGCAAAAATATTACATTTCCATATTCTCAGAAATAAATGGCAGTTTCGTTGAAACGTAAGGTACAGTATTTAATATTAAAATGCAAAAAGAGCTATAAAAACAATTAATACTGTACACCCGTAATGTACTGGCTGGCATCTCCACTCATCCCTCCTCTCGCGTCCAAGCTCACCACTCCTCCCAACTCGCTCCCTCCGCTCCCTCCTCTGCCTCCTCCACCTCCTCACCGTCACTACTGCCGACAACAAACACAAATGTTTAGTGAATAACTGCACCTCCACTTCCTATGTACAGTACTGAACTGTACTGTGCTGTGCATTTTTACAAACAATAAACATGGCAAGAAAAGCTATTAAAAAAAAAGAGATAAAAATTTCACTTTACTGTACCGTACCTATCCTCGGCGACAGGACGGGGGTCATCGGGCTCATCGTCACTCAATTCCATAACGGGTGGTGAAGTGGGGGCGACGGTGGATTCAGCTGCTTCCTCACTGCCGCCAGTGATTGATGGTGTTAAATCTCTCCTTCGGTGATCAAAGAACATGGTGATGGGGAGTTGTCGTCTCTTTCTTTTCATTTCTTCCATGATGTTTTTGTATGGAGCAAAAACGTCATCCATCCCTCGCATGAATTTCAGGGCACGCACCATGGAGGGGTCCATACTATAGGCCAGGTTTTTCAGTGCCTCAATATTCCTGGTCATCTCCCCCAACTTCTCCAACGTTATTTCTTGGTGCTCTTCCTCTTCCTCATCCTCTTTCCCTTTCGCTTCCTCTTCCTTGCCTGAGTCTACTAACTCCTGTAGATCCTCCTCGGTCAGCTCAGTGTCGTGCTCTTCAATTAGCTCCCTAATCTCGTCCTCTGCCATGTCCTGGAAGCCTTCAGCAGCCACTTTCCTTGACAGTGCCAGGGTCTTTCTGAATATTTTCATTAAAATCCATCAAAATCATTTTCCTTGTCATCGTCTTAAGCACCAAACAGCTCCTCCCAGTCTTCTCCTTGAACAGGGCTAGAGGGTACGTGTTTTTCGAATCGTTTTCAATTAAAAAAATGTTACAGCACATGTATATTTTACCTAAACTGTGCCTGAATGAATATATTCTCAGAAATAAATAGTAGTTTTGCTGAAACGTGATGTATTTCAATGTAAAATAGGATAAAATACATGACGAAAACAAAAGACTTTACCTAACCTTCCAATGTTCAAGAGATGTTACTCGTTTTTTTAATAGTTTTCGGTTAAAATACTGTTATATTACAATGATATTCTATTCATACTGTGCTTGATATACTACATTCACGGAAATGTAATATTTTTGCTGAAATGACGTACGTATTACAGTGGAAAGTGGGATAAAATCGTGACGAAAACAATGACTTTCGCTTTCTTTCGTTCAAAAGATGTTACCGTAATCGCTTTTCGAATGGTTTTCAGTTAAAAAAACTGTTGCATCACAAGTGAATTAGGATAGAATATTATTGTAATACAACAGTTTTTTAACTGAAAACCATTCGAAAAGCGATTACGGTAACATCTTTTGAACGAAAGAAAGCGAGTCATTGCTTTCGTCACTTTCCACTGTAATACGTACGTCATTTCAGCAAAATATTACATTTCCATATTCTCAGAAATAAATAGTAGTTTTGCTGAAACGTAATGCATTTCAATGTAAATTAGGATAAACTACATGAAAACAAAAGACTTTACCTAACCTTCCGATGTTCAAGATATGTTACTCGTTTTTTTAGTAGTTTTCGGTTAAAATACTCTTATATTAGTGATATTCTATTCATACTGTGCTTGATAAAATACATTCACGGAAATGTAATATTTTTGCAACTACAATGCTGATGTCAACACAAGCGTGGTTACAGTGAGACTGACTGAGTGAGGGAGAGCTATGCTTGTGTGTGTGAGGTTGCGGGAGCGGGCGGTGTCCTGTGTTCGGTGCCGCGCACGAGTTGAATGGCGCGCGATTTGAATGTACTTCAATTACTTCAATGTACAGAATACTCCTCCGGCGGGGCAATCCGCGTATTTGCAAATCTGTGTATGCTAAACCTGCGTATGTTAAGGGCCGACTGTATTACAAAAAAATATTAATACTTAGACAATTGATATTTTTTAAGAGATGAATTAAAGGAAGGGAGTGTAGTCTTTGCTCAGATGGTGTAAAGGTCTGGGACTTAGGGATAGAAATCCCTTACCAGACTAATCAGGATCTTAATAAAGGAAAGTCAAGGACCATGGTTTACTGAGGAATAACAAACAACCGTTTGAGATTGACATCTCTTTACTATAAAAATATAACACAGAACTCTGACACCACTCAACAAACATCAAATAATTACGGGAGTCAGACATTTAAGGCAGTAAACAGTTAATGGAGTCAAACAATTACTGGGTGTCAACAACTGATAGAATCAAACAATGAAAGGGAGTCAGCAATTAAAGGAATCAACAATAAAAGAATCAAACAATGAACAGATATTTCCTACGGCAGTGGCCCTGGGGGAAGGTTCTGGAACACGGTGATCCACACTCAGGGTAGGGAAGCGTCCATTCAATTCCACACTCGAGCGACAGCGGCCGATGTTTTGAAATGGCAGGAGAACACCGGGGCACAGACGGAGGAGATGAACTGACGGTCGCGGTAGTGGTAGATGACCAGAGAATTGACAGTCGATAGGTGAAGGTCTGGGGGACACAGCCCACGAGTCCCGAGCCTTGATGAGATCACAGCCAGAATTTGACGAACAACGGGGTAGATAGATAGTGACTGTATGACGGCTGGGGTGAATCTGCTGGTGACACAGGTAGCAGCGAACCTCCTCAACTCCGTCCAACCCCCCCAAGTGGGGGTCGCGCCAGCAAACGAGAGAGTTCACAGCGGTAACGAGCAGGAAGATCGTTTCCACCCTTACAGATGGGTGGGGGTAAGTTGTTCCACACCTTCACACCGTGAAATTTTATGGAGGTCTGGGACTGAGAGGAGTGCATGGGGGGGTGGTCTTAGTAGCTCTTGGTGCCTTAAGTTGTATCGCTGATTATTCCGAAACTGGAAATAATTATTGTCAAGCAAGTGATTGAAAGATTTGTAAACGAATAGGGCACAGCAGTAGGTGTTAATATCCTCGAATTTTAACATTTTAATTTAGCAAATTGTTCGTTAGTGTGATCAGTTTATTTCAAGTAGGTCATTGTCCGTACATCTCTCTTTTGTACAGTAACCAGGGGTTGTGTTTGAAGAGCCAGAGGCCCCCCCCCATAGTGTGTGACAGTGCATCAGGTGTTGGTAAACAAGATCATATTAGATTTCTTTCATTGCCGTGAGAGTGAGTGACTGTCAAGTGTGATACATAATACCGCACTGTTTATTGACTTTACTGTGAATGGCTTGTATGTGGTTTCTCCAGTTAAGTTTCTCATCAACATTAACTCCGAGGAATTTAGTATTTTGTTCGCGATTGAGGACTGTATTACCAAGGTACAGGGGGTCCAAGTCTGGGGTCAAGTTTTTCCTTCTGTGAAAGATCGTGTAGTTGGTTTTCTGAAGGTATAAGGTCAGTTTATTACGTATTACCCAGGTCCTGACTTAAATCAATTCAGTGTTCATAGATCTCATCAAGGAATGGAGGTCTGAGTTGCTGGCATATAGATTACTATCGTCTGCAAATAAGTTTTATTTTATGAGTGTGCTGGCGTGGACTCCATACAAGATTGGCAAGGAGTCAGATTAGTGGTTATTATAGCAGACATACTGCATCCTATTGGACAGATATGAGGTAACCCAATTGTGGGACAGGCCTCTAACACTGTAATGTTCAAGCTTTGAAGGGAGGATGGTATGGTCGACAGTATCGAAGGCTTTAGAGAGGTCCAAGAATATACCGACTGTGAACTGACTGTCATCAAAGGAATTTAAGATGTCATTAGTAAAGGATAGCAGAGCACTCTCAGTGACCTTCAGTCCAGTACTTATCTGGTGTTAGAGTGATGGCCTGCTAAATGCGTTAATCACCCTTTGACTAGCGGGATTTCCCTCAGCTGAAGAAAATTGTCTGGTGTTCACTAGAATAATATAATCAGTGCAACAGCACCAATGAAAGAGCAATTAGAGATAGTTTTAATGGTTATTTGTGGTTCTAAGCATGCCAGTGTACTAGTTGTGAGACGGGCCAACCACTGGCCACTTGCTAGTATTAGACGTGATAACTCTGATGCGTCAGGTTCCCGCTTTGGCAGTCACACTGGTACTAGTTCTGTATAGTCACTCAAGGCAGTTGGAGCGTTGCAAATATCAGAAGCAGTGTCCATTGTTTTTACTTTTGAGCCCATAATGATGTTATCAAAGAAAAGAACAATTAATGACGAGTGTCGGGTGGTACAGGAAAAGTGGAAAATCTTGTACTTTTTTGTTAAAATGAATAGAAAACTGACTTGTTTGATTTGTAAGCAACAGGCAGCTGTTGCCAAAGATTACAATATTTGTAGCCACTATGACATTAGCGATGCTCCCAAGTATAATAAATATTGTGGCAAGTTACATGAAGACAAGTTAAAGAGTTGGAGCAGTCATTGAAAAAGCAGCAGTCAGTATTAAGAGTGTTCATCAAGTCAGTGACGCTGCAGTTAAGGCAAGCTACAGGAAGGCCCATGAAATAGCTGTGTCATCAAAGTCTTTTTCTGAAGAGAACCTTTTACAGAAACGTATGTTGATGGCTTCAGAAGATATTTGCCTGGAAAAAGTCAAGCATTTGCAAACATTAGCCTCTCAAGAAATACAGTTGCAGAGACAATTATGAATTATCAGAGAATATTATCAGTCAAATCAAAGATAACGTTAAGTCCTTTGCTACATTTTCTGTTGCAGTTGATGAAAGTATTGACATAACTGATGTAGCACAACTTACAGTTTTTATACTACAAGGTGTGGATGAAAATATGCTACTAACACAACTGGTATCAATGAAAGGAACAACAACAACAGGTGATGAGTTTGGTGGGGGAACTGGGTAAATTAGGTGATGACTGGGTACAAACTGCGAGTCTGGCTACAGATGGAGCACTTCAAATGGTGGGTAGCAAAGCTGGTGTGGCAACAATATTAAAGGAAAAACTACTATCTGTGAATCTAGACCATCAATTTCATAATTTGCATTGCATTATACATAGAGAAGTGTTGTGCAGTAAAACATTAAAGACAGGGAACTTTATACGAGCACTAGATCTGAACCACAGACAGTTCAACTGCTTATTGGAGGAAAATGAGAACACACACACGGACTGCCACATCACACTGATGTTCGCCGGTTAAGTCGGGGAGTCGTACTGAAGCGATTTAATGAATTGCGCAGTGAAATATATGTGTTCATGGAGCAGAAAGGAAGGGATGTGCATGAACTGAAAGATAATGAATGGGTTCAAGATCTAACTTTGGTGGTGGATATTACAGAGCACTTACATTACTTGAACACAATGATGCAAGGACGCAGTAAATTGGTAACAGTTTTATTACTGCATTTGTGCCTTTGAGATGAAACTGCAGCTTTATGAAAGACAACTTGCAGAGAGTAATCTTTCACACTCTCCGACGTTTAAGTCCCCGCAAGGCACACCTGAGCTTTATGTTGATACCAACACACAAAAGTACTGCATCAAGTTTTCCAAGTTAAGGATTGAGTTTCAAGAAAGGTTTGCTGACTTTAAATACCTTGAGAAATTTTTTTCCATTTTTCAGAACCCATTCTCTGTCAGTGTTATGAAGTACCAGAACATCTTCAGTTAGAATTAATTGAGCTCCAGTGTGATTATGTGTTGAGGAACAAGTTTTTGAGTGTTGATGTTGGCACATTTTATCAACATGTGAGACCAAATTATCCCAGGATTTTAAGTGTTTTGCCTCAAAGATTATGTCCATGTTTGGAAGTACAATATAGTTTGGGTTTACACGGTTAATTAAACCCATAGAGGTCCACGTATAAAGTGAAACGCGTAAATAAAATAACAGAACATATGGGATTACCCGGTAATTGAAATAGAGACTGGGCTGACCACCAGACTACCCTTTTTTTGGCTATCGCCGACACAATACTGTACATTGTAGTAAAAATAACATCTTAATTTTATGATGGTATGCACACACAATTAATATATAAGAGAAATATCAATAATATTAGGTTTTTTAACACTTACGTTAGTAGAAGAGATTGCTGGGCACACGGGGATGTGCCCGAGTGTCGACTGCCATGTTCCTTCTTGACTAACGAATAATGTAGCTTACCAAACAAATCTCAGCAGCACCTTATTGTGGCAATATTTCACCAGCGAGGCACCTACAGACTTGGAAATAATAATAATAATAAACGGTTTATTAATAGAGTTGCAGCCGGTGGCTGAAAATATACACTTACATTTGATTTAGACATGATGATATAATATGCGTTGAATACATTTACAGGGGTGTACAGTACATAAATCAGGAACTGTTTATTATTTTAGCAATAGATGGGATGGTGCTATACTTATATCTATCAGTGCAGGCTCTTATGGGCTGAATTTTGTTGTATGGCGGACTGCGCGAGGTGGGCGGGGGACTGCCGGTGGCAGGAGGTGGCAATGGCGAGGGTGGTGCAGTAGTCCACTGCCAAACCTTTCCAGTGCTTGGTGGTGGAGGTCACTGAGGGATGGCATTTCCAGGGTGGAGAGAGCTTTGATGTTCATGTTCATGTGTTCATTGATTTTGCCGGCATCCTTCTTGTTCTTGCGGATTGTCGATTCATTCTTTCCATATTGTTTGGCCAGATCCACCTGCCTGGTGCCTTTTTCTAACTCCTGGACGATCTTGTACTTAACCTCATAGCTTAAGGCACGTCGCACCTTCTTGGGCTTGGGGCGGCTTGGGCCAGGTACTTCAGGGCTTCTCGGGGGTGGTGGGGGTCCAGCGGAAGCCATTGTGTAGAAAGAAAAAAACAAAAGCGGTTCCTGGGCACGAGTGAATATACGCGGGGACGGTGAGACTAACACGGCCAAGGTCAAGAGCGCTGGTGGCAGGTCGAGCAAGGTTAAATAGACCAATCACAGCGCGCGGCGGAGGGGGTGCGTGGGTGGTAAGGATACGTGGCCCAATCACAGCCCGCCACGTCATCGGCACAGCCCAGCACCTTGCCCGCTGCTTCGTGCGTATATGATGGCATTCACCACGTAAAGAAAAATTAGCACGTCTGGACAGGTGCCACGTAAATGGCAATTGGTGTATAAAATATCCTTGTAAACCCAGACTGTACTGTACATATGTTTGTGAACATCTCTTTACTGTAATGGACAGTAACAAATCTCGGCTTCGTTCTCAACTTACTGCTGCGCACTTGAATTCAATACTGAAGGTTGGTGCAGCTCAGTCATTATCTCCAAACTTTGATGCATTGGTCCATACCAAGAGGTGTCAAGTATCAGGGAGCAGCAGTAGCAGGCAATAACACTAATAAAGGTAACTGTATATTATACAACACATAGCACAAGCAGGATTTTTCATGGGGAGGAGAGAGAGAGCTTCACACTCGCCCATAGGTGAGGGAGCTTGTCCCTCACTCTCCAGTAGACTAAGATCTCACCCCTCAGCTGTCAACACATCTAGTCCTGTGTTCCTGTATCCACCTCCTTTATCTTGCCACACTCACCCCCCAGAAGGGTGATAACCAAGTGTGTACTCACATGTCGCCCGCCTGTACACCCCTGCTCTCTACACCTTAATATATTTGTTTACCATTATTAGTGACAACACAATCATACTCAGAGGTTAATGTCTTACCATCAGACGAGGACACACGGTACTCGCCAACACACTGCCCAAGAAAGAAGAACATGTGCTGCTGTGTAGGATGACGGAGATCCAGCGCAAACTATACTCTACGTTTATGACCGAGTTGGCCGCCACCAAGGCCATGGCCAACCCTCTCAAGGCTTTTGCTATCTGTTGTAAGGTGAGTGAGTAGAGATGTTGTCTCGGCTACTAACATACTATTATCTTTACTAGTGTTAATAGGAAGTAATAGTGACACTGTCTTTACTCGTGTTAATAGGAAGTAATTGTGACACTGTCTTTACTAGTATTGGTAGGAAGTAATAGTGACACTGTCTTTACTAGTGTTAATAGGAAGTAATTGTGACACTGTCTTTACTAGTGTTAATACGAAGTAATGGTGACACTGTCTTTACTAGTGTTAATAGGAAGTAATAGTGACACTGTCTTTACTAGTGTTAATAGGAAGTAATTGTGACACTGTCTTTACTAGTATTGGTAGGAAGTAATAGTGATACTGTCTTTACTAGTATTGGTAGGAAGTAATAGTGACACTGTCTTTACTAGTATTGGTAGGAAGTAATAGTGACACTGTCTTTACTAGTGTTAATAGGAAGTAATAGTGACACTGTCTTTACTAGTGTTAATAGGAAGTAATTGGTGTCTTTACTAGTATTGGTAAAGTAATAGTGACACTGTCTTTACTAGTGTTAATAGGAAGTAATAGTGACACTGTCTTTACTAGTATTGGTAGGAAGTAATAGTGACACTGTCTTTACTAGTGTTAATAGGAAGTAATAGTGACACTGTCTTTACTAGTATTGGTAGGAAGTAATAGTGACACTGTCTTTACTAGTGTTAATAGGAAGTAATAGTGACACTGTCTTTACTAGTGTTAATAGGAAGTAATAGTGACACTGTCTTTACTAGTATTGGTAGGAAGTAATAGTGACACTGTCTTTACTAGTATTGGTAGGAAGTAATAGTGACACTGTCTTTACTAGTGTTAATAGGAAGTAATAGTGACACTGTCTTTACTAGTGTTGGTAGGAAGTAGGACACTGTCTTTACTAGTGTTAATAGGAAGTAATAGTGACACTGTCTTTACTAGTATTGGTAGGAAGTAATAGTGACACTGTCTTTACTAGTATTGGTAGGAAGTAATAGTGACACTGTCTTTACTAGTATTGGTAGGAAGTAATAGTGACACTGTCTTTACTAGTATTGGTAGGAAGTAATAGTGACACTGTCTTTACTAGTATTGGTAGGAAGTAATAGTGACACTGTCTTTACTAGTATTGGTAGGAAGTAATAGTGACACTGTCTTTACTAGTATTGGTAGGAAGTAATAGTGACACTGTCTTTACTAGTATTGGTAGGAAGTAATAGTGACACTGTCTTTACTAGTATTGGTAGGAAGTAATAGTGACACTGTCTTTACTAGTATTGGTAGGAAGTAATAGTGACACTGTCTTTACTAGTGTTGGTAGGAAGTAATAGTGACACTGTCTTTACTAGTGTTAATAGGAAGTAATTGTGACACTGTCTTTACTAGTATTTGTAATAGTGAACTGTCTTTACTAGTATTGTGGAAGTAATAGTGACACTGTCTTTACTAGTATTGGTAGGAAGTAATAGTGACACTGTCTTTACTAGTGTTAATAGGAAGTAATAGTGACACTGTCTTTACTAGTATTGGTAGGAAGTAATAGTGACACTGTCTTTACTAGTGTTAATAGGAAGTAATAGTGACACTGTCTTTACTAGTATTGGTAGGAAGTACTAGTGACACTGTCTTTACTCGTATTGGTAGGAAGTAATAGTGACACTGTCTTTACTAGTGTTGGTAGGAAGTTATAGTGACACTGTCTTTACTAGTGTTAATAGGAAGTAATTGTGACACTGTCTTTACTAGTATTTGTAGGAAGTAATAGTGACACTGTCTTTACTAGTATTGGTAGGAAGTAATAGTGACACTGTCTTTACTAGTACTGGTAGGGTGGGCTGCATGAGTGGACACTGTCTTTACTAGTGTTAATAGAGCTAACAGTGATACCTCTTTACTAGCATTGGTAGGAAGCTGGGGCTATGACACTGGTTTCTTTACTAGCATTGCAGGAAGTAAGTTAGTGACACTGTCTTTTACTAGTATTGGTAGGAAGTACAGTGGACAACTGTCTTTACTAGTATTGGTAGGAAGTAGTAGTGACAATTGCTCCTGATTAGCATTGGTGGTAGAAAGCAATAGTGACACTTGTCTTTACTAGTATTGGTAGGAAGTAAATAGTGACACTGCTCCTCATTTAGTAAGTACAGGAAGCAATAGTGACACTGTTCTTTTACTAGTATTGGTAGGAAGTAATAGTGACACTGTCTTTACTAGTATTGTAGGAAGAAGAAGTGACAATTGATCCTTACTAGTGTTAATAGGAAGCAAGAAAGACACTCTTTACTAGTATTGGTAGTGGTTAGTGACACTGTCTTTACTTAGTATTGGTAGGAAGTAATCGTGACACTGTCTTTTTACTTGTATTGGTAGGGTGCTGAAGAAAGTGACACTGTTTTTACTAGGTATTGGTAGGGAAGTAATAGTGACACTGTTCTTTACTAGTATTGGTAGGGAAGTAATAGTGATACTGCCCCTTTTACTAGTGTTAATAGGAAGTAGGAAGTGACACTGTCTTTACTAGTATTGGTAGGAAGTAATAGCATAATTGTCTTTACTAGTATTGGTAGGAAGCAATAGTGACACTGTTCTTTACTAGTGTTAATAGGAAGTAATAGTGACACTCCCCTTTACTACATTAAGTAGGGCTAAATAGTGACACTGTCTTTACTAGTATTGGTAGAAGCTAAGAGTGACACTGTCTTTACTAGTATTGGTAGGGAAGTAGTGTAACACTGTCTTCTTACTAGCATTGGTAGGAAGTAATAGTGACACTGCTCCTTACTAGTATTGGTAAAGGTTAGTGACACTGTCTTCTTTACTAGTATTGGTAGGAAGTACAGTATTAATTGTCTTTACTAGTATATTGGTAGGAAGTAATAGTGACACTGTCTTTACTAGTATTGCAGGAAGTACAGCATAATTTTTTACTAGTATTGCAGGGAAGCAATAGTGACACTGTCTTTACTATATTGGTAGAAGCAATATGACACTGCTGTCTTACTAGTGTTATTGAGGAAGCCAATAGTGACACTCTTTACTAGTATTGCAGGAAGCAATAGCGACACTGTCTTTACTAGTGTTGATGTTAGGGAAGCAATAGTGATTAATTGTCTTTACTTAGCATTGCAGGGAAAGGTAATAGTGACAACGTTCTCACTAGTGTTAATAGGAAGTAATAGTGACACTCTCGTACTAGTGCTGGTAGGAAGCTAAGAAAGTGACAATTGTTCCTTACTAGTATTGGTAGGAAGTAATATGAATAATTGCTCCTTTACTAGTGTTAATAGGAAGTAATAGTGACACTTTTACTAGTATTGGTAGGAAGCAATAGTGACACTGTCTTTTACTAGCATTGGTAGGAAGCAATAGACACTGTTCTTTACTAGCATTGCAGGAAGTACAGTGAGACACTGTCTTTACTAGCATTGGCAGGAAGCAATAGCACACTGTCTTTACTAGGCATTGGCAGGAAGTAATAGTGGACACTGTTCCTCATTAGTATTGGTGAAGTAACAGGTGACACTGTCTTACTAGTATTGGTAGGGAAGTAATAGCGACACTGTCTTTACTAGTGTTAATAGGGGCGCAATAGTGACACCTTTTACTAGTATTGGTGAGAAGCTATTAGTGGATAATTGTCTTTACTAGTATTGGTAGGAAGTTGAGTATACCTGCTTTTTACTAGTATTGGGTAGGGAAGTAAGAGTGACACTGCCTTTTACTAGTAAGCTACAGGGAAGCAATAGTGACACTGTCTTTAATAGTATTGGTAGGGAAGTACAGTGACACTGCTCCTGATTAGTGTTAATAGGAAGCAATAGTGACACTGTCTTCACTAGTATTGGTAGGAAGTAATAGTGACACTGTCTTTACTAGTATTGGTAGGAAGTAATAGTGACACTGTTCATTTAGTAGTATTGGTAGGAAGTAATAGTGACACTGTCTTTACTAGTGTTACGAGGAAGTAATAGTGATAATTAACTTACTAGTATTGGTAGGAAGTAAGAAAGGACAATTGTCTTTACTAGCATTGGTAGGGAAGTAATAGTGACACTGTCTTTACTAGTATTGGTAGGGAAGTAATAGTAGGCAGCTACCAACAGGGAGGTACTACTAAAGATATTGGAAGCATAATGTGTTGTCTAATGGTAGACCCTGCTGCCATATGTGACCAAGTCCCAGGTTGATGATCTGACTTTCTGCCTCATTTACACACAATTGTAGGGTCTCAATTGTTTCCCTGACCAAACAATATATATGCAGTACTGTATATTGTTTATCACTTTTGGTCTTTATTTAATTTTAGTATTTCTTATTGGTTCTTTATTATTATTATTATTATTATTTTTATTATTATTATTATTATTATTATTATTATTATTATTATTATTATTATTATTATTATTACATTTTCGCCCCCGAGGCCCCGATGTGGGTCAGTGACCTGTGTCCGGGTGGGCTAATACTTAAAAAAAAAAAAAAAAAACTATAGTAGTTTTTCCATATAAAGGTGATAATCTTGAGGTGTTTGTTTGTGGTGATAATCTTGGAGTGTTTGTGAAAGGCTTAAATGGGTTTGTTAGTGACACCTCAACTGTTGTTATTGGTTATATTCTTTTTTCTCCCAGATATGGAATCATCCTGATGTCCTGTACAACTTTGTCCAGAAGAAAATTAATGAAGACTTTGATTTGGATTTGGACGAAGTTGATGGGAAGTCCAAGTCTAGGAGAGCGTCTTCAATCAGCACCCCAAACCAGTCTCTTCTCAATGTTCCGTCACACCCCATGCCCAGCTGGGCCTCTCCGGGACCCATGAATCGTAATATTCCGCAACAGTTGGGCTGGCGTCGGGTTGGGTATGGGACATCAAGTTGGTATGGGTCCTCAACCTGGACTGGGGCAGATGAACATGAATCACCAAAGTGCAATGGGTCTTCAACAACCCACCATGGGTTTCCAGGATCCGATGGGTCCGCCCATGATGCACCACAACATGGGTCAGCTCCGAGACAACCAGGGCGGTCTGGCGACTACGGCATGGGTGCTCACAACATACACCAGGGCTACGGGATGCAGATGCCCTACCCGTGGTACAACCAGGGCTACGGTGCTAACGACCCCAGGTCTTACCCCCTCCAACAACCCCTATGTCCCTCAGTACCCACAACACAATACCCCTGTGAGTCAGAGTCTGCCGGCTACCCCGCTACGCACAACACCTCCATGGGTATGTCCCTCCCTAACCAGTCTAACCAATCACTGGGACTGCCCAGCCCTTCTAGGCAGTCTATGGGGCTAACAACACCCTCCGGGCAGCCCATGGGAGTACACAACCATTCGGGGCAGGCATTAGGGCTGAGCAACCACTCGGGGCACTCTATGGGGCTGCCTAACCCAGGTGATCAGTCTATGGGTGTTGGTAATTCTTCTTGGGCAACCCATGGGCATGTCTAATCACACTGGACAGTCCATGGGAGTTCCAACTCTCTGAACAGTCGATGGGAGTTTCCAATCCCACAGGACAGCAAATGACAGTTTCCAATCCCACAGGACAGCAGTCAATGTCAGTTCCAAATTCAGCAGACCAGTCGATGGGTATTAACAGTTCTTCACGAGGATCACTGGGTTTATCCAATCAGTCGGGACAGTCACTAGGAATTTCCAATCAGTCGGGACAGTCACTAGGCGTTTCCAATCAGTCGGGACAGTCGCTGAGCCAGTCTAGCAATAATCAACATGGAATCAGTCTATCCCAACGGAACAAACAGTCACGGAGCAACGAGCGGTCAGCCCGCCACCCTCGCCACCCCTGCTACTCCAAGCCTCAGGCAGCACCACCACACTTACCCAGTCACGGAGGACAAACCCAAAGAACAAACGGAAGACGGAGACCAGAAACCCGTAAGAAGGAGGACGCTAAGAGAGGAAGAAGATAACTCAGAAGACAAGAAAGATGAGAAGAAGGAGGAGGTGAAGAAGGAGGAGATGACCTTGGAGTGGACCGAAGGCTTATTCAAGGACTATGTGCCTGGCTCCCTCATCAACTCTGCTAAATTCCAGGTGTTTTTTCAGATCTTGGAAGGATGTAGGAGTAGGGGACCGAATCTTGCTGTTTTCCCAGTCTCTGTTCACCCTCACGCTGCTGGAGGAGTTCCTTCAGAGGTCATACATCCCCGGCACGTATGAAGGCTGGCTCAGAAATCGTTCAGACTTCAGGCTGGACGGCAGCACCTCGGCTCAGGAGAGAGAGAAACTCATTAATGAATTCAACATGAACCCCAACATCAGGTTGTTTTTAGTGTCGACTAGAGCCGGCAGTTTGGGTATCAACCTGGTAGGAGCCAACAGAGTGGTGGTGTTCGACGCTGTTTAATCGTACACGACACCCAGGCCGTGTGTCGGGTCTATCGTTACGGGCAGAAGAAAGAGTGCCACATCTATCGCCTAGTTACTCATACCTCTGGAAACGACATAGACAGACAGGTAAACAAACAGGGCATCGCGGACCGATCGTCGCATTTAATGAACCCGGACGCCCACCTGTCGTCCAAGGAAATTAGTAACCTTCGGGTGGAGAACGAGAGCCACCTAGACCCCATCGACATGACAGACAAGCGGAGAAATACCGATCAGATCTGCACGAGGTCGATGAAACACGCTCCTCTTCACCAAGCCTCCCTTTAGACACGAAAGTTTGCTCAGAGATCGAAAAGGACGAAGCTGTCGCGTGCAGAGAAAAGGTTGGCCAAGAGGTCATATGAGCTGGAGAAACAAGCCAACATCAGCTATAGCCGGCCGTCTTACGCTGCCTTCTACCCTAAAACACAGTCTGGGCAACAGGTCATCATGGGTACTAAGATCGGGTAAGTCAATGCCTTCTATGTTTACAGCCTTGGTAGTGGACAGACCTGTAGGTAGTGACAGACCTGTAGTGTAGTGGACAGACTGTGTAGTGACAGACCTGAGTGTAGTGACAGACCTGTAGTGTAGTGGACAGACCTGTAGTGTAGTGGACAGACCTGGTAGTGGACAGACCTGTAGTGTAGTGGACAGACCTGTAGTGGAGGACAGACCTGGTGGGAGTGGACAGACCCAGTGTAGTGGACAGACCTAGTGTAGTGGACAGACCTGTAGTGTAGTGGACAGACCTGTAGAGTGGACAGACCTGTAGGTGGAGTGGACAGACCTGTAGTGGAGTGGACAGACCTGTAGTGGAGTGGACAGACCTGGTGTAGTGACAGACCTGTGTAGGACAGACCTTGTGGTGTAGTGGACAGACCTGTAGTGTAGTGGACAGACCTGTGGTGTAGTGACAGACCTGTGGTGTAGTGGACAGACCTGTGGTGTAGTGGACAGACCTAGGTGTAGGACAGACCTGTGGTGTAGTGGACAGACCCGTGGTGTAGTGGACAGACCTGTGGTGTAGTGTGGACAGACCTGTAGGTGTAGTGGACAGACCTGTAGTGTAGTACAGACCCAGTGTAGTGGACAGGTAAGCAATACGTAACTGAACGAAGCATACTGA